CACTGCACTCACAACCAATCAATCTCAAATCACAGCCAATCAGAAGAGCGTGTGGGCGGAGTCTCTGCAAGCGCACTGCACTCACAACCAATCAATCACAAATCACAGCCAATCAGAAGAGTGTGTGGGCGGAGTCTCTGCAAGCGCACTGCACTCACAACCAATCAATCTCAAATCACAGCCAATCAGAAGAGCGTGTGGGCGGAGTCTCTCTGCAAGCGCACTGCACTCACAACCAATCAATCACAAATCACAGCCAATCAGAAGAGTGTGTGGGCGGAGTCTCTCTGCAAGCGCACTGTACTCACAACCAATCAATCACAGCCAATCAGAAGAGCGTGTGGGCGGAGTCTCTCTGCAAGCGCACTGCACTCACAACCAATCAATCACAGCCAATCAGAAGAGCGTGTGGGCGGAGTCTCTCTGCAAGCGCACTGCACTCACAACCAATCAATCACAGCCAATCAGAAGAGCGTGTGGGCGGAGTCTCTCTGCAAGCGCACTGCACTCACAACCAATCAATCACAGCCAATCAGAAGAGCGTGTGGGCGGAGTCTCTCTGCAAGCGCACTGTACTCACAACCAATCAATCACAGCCAATCAGAAGAGCGTGTGGGCGGAGTCTCTCTGCAAGCGCACTGCACTCACAACCAATCAATCACAGCCAATCAGAAGAGCGTGTGGGCGGAGTCTCTCTGCAAGCGCACTGCACTCACAACCAATCAATCACAGCCAATCAGAAGAGCGTGTGGGCGGAGTCTCTCTGCAAGGCACAGCACTCACAACCAATCAACCACAGCCAATCAGAAGAGCGTGTGGGCGGAGTCTCTCTGCAAGCGCACTGCACTCACAACCAATCAATCACAGCCAATCAGAAGAGCGTGTGGGCGGAGTCTCTCTGCAAGCGCACTGCACTCACAACCAATCAATCACAGCCAATCAGAAGAGCGTGTGGGCGGAGTCTCTCTGCAAGCGCACTGCACTCACAACCAATCAATCACAGCCAATCAGAAGAGCGTGTGGGCGGAGTCTCTCTGCAAGCGCACTGCACTCACAACCAATCAATCACAGCCAATCAGAAGAGCGTGTGGGCGGAGTCTCTCTGCAAGGCACAGCACTCACAACCAATCAACCACAGCCAATCAGAAGAGCGTGTGGGCGGAGTCTCTCTGCAAGCGCACTGCACTCACAACCAATCAATCACAGCCAATCAGAAGAGCGTGTGGGCGGAGTCTCTCTGCAAGCGCACTGCACTCACAACCAATCAATCACAGCCAATCAGAAGAGCGTGTGGGCAGGGCCGGACTGGGACCAAAATTCGGCCCTGGCATTTGTGGTTTTCACCGGCCCAACTAATTGATGACGTTAAAAAACGTCCCCAGAATCTGAACATTTTTCCCACTGAGACACACCATACAAGGCAGCAATTTAGGCGCGTTTCCATTACAGATTTGCGCAAAACTTTTGCGATTTTTTTCTAAATGTCGATAAAAAACTATTGCGAAATGACGGCGTTTCCATTAACTGATGTTATGCGATACAACGTCCTTTTTTTCTCTCGCGATAAGTCATTTAAACATCATGGCAACGGGTCTATCAGCCACCACCACACTAGACATTATTATTATTATTAATGGAATGAGACGTGGTGTGTTATCCAAGCATTAATGGCAGGGAAAGACGCATACTGCTAAGGAGTTTCTGGGTGTTTCTCTCTCATTTCTGCCCCGAGGTCTTGATTGTGGCATTTCTTTGAGGTTTAGAATCCAGTATTCCTGAAGCCTAATTATTGTTTATTTTATGAATTTAATAAAGAACTCTGTCCAAACGGTCAGTGTACATTTGTGTCCATTCGTTTTTCCTTTTTTAACCCGTATTGCAAAACGAAAAATGAACGGTGATTTTTTTATTTAAAATGCAAAGTTAACCAGCAATTTTTTTTTAAATTTGAACTGTACACAAATGCTGTGCAAAAATAATAATATATCGACTAAATTTCAGACGTTTCTTTGACTTTTTGCCCCTTTATTAAACATTTAAAATATTCACAACTCGAAAAAAATGTAGATTTTAATGGTTTTCTAAGGGCAAATTAGAACCTGGAAATTATATTTTTCCCGCAGTGCTGAATGAGAAGAGCCATATTTATGCCTCTGGAACCACAAGGTGATTTAGGTGAGTTATAGGCTAATGATAATAAATCTGTCTGAAAAAATAACGAGGCATTTTAATTCTTTATTAATAAACTATTGTTTTCTAAATCAGTGTCGGCTAAAAACATATCTCCATCTCCGCTGAGGCGCGCCGCGCGAATGCACCTTTAGAGAGAAATACACCTTTCATAAGGATTACATCATCAGAATGTATTAGCTTTCGATTCGAATTTGTTCGTTTTAAAGTGGACACTTCAAGCTTTAGCCTAGGCTATACTTTGTTTCAGTTCTCGCGCTCCAGTTCACGGAGATCATGAAAGCGCGCATGATTGTTTTATTTTATTTTA